TATATACTAATTAATATCTAATAAAATTTCTTTATTTACTAATTAAAAAATAAACTTTCATCCCTAAGAAAATTATTGTTTATATTACTTTAGCTTCAAGATGCTACATGTACTCTCTTTCTCTCTCTTTTTCTTCTTTTTTTAAGTGGAACACATACTTGTCCGTTTTAAATTTGCTTTTCATTTTGTAGTGCAATCCAAACTTTTAACAGTGAAGATGATTTGAAATTGATAAAGAATCTAACAAAAATTGCTTTCAATCTCAATTCCATTGATGAACTAAACCTTTGGGCTCAATGATTCATTTTCAAATTTTAGTATTTGTATTTAATTAATCGAGAATTCAATTTCTATTAACAATTTGAAAAAAACCCTATCCTCCACATTCTCATCTTCAAAAAGAAAAAATCTCAATTCCATTGATAATGGATATATTGTTGCTATCTTCCTTTAATAATTAATCAATCAATCCTCTTGATTATCCTTAGAATAAAAACAACTACAAATACAAAAACAAATATTACCAATTTCCTAACTTTTATCACTCAAAAATTAGTTATTTACATTATTTTTACCTATTTGAGATGCAGCTTATTATTTTATTTTTTATTTTGTTATTTTCAGATAGGACACACAATTACTTGCTTTTAAATTAATCTTTAATATCAATTAATAGACCAATATCCAAACTCTCCACAGGGCAATTTGCAACTGCTAAACAATCCAAAAAAAATTATTTTCGATCCAAATCCTATCTACAATACTGCATATACTTTTTTACTATCTTACTTTATTAATCAATTCGATCAAACTATTCTCTTTTTCGTACTTGTAAAACGACAAAAACAAGAACAAAAACAAATAGACAAATATCTAAACTTTCATCATTAAAAAATTTGTTGTTTACAATACTTTTATCCTCAAAATGCGACATGAATTGTCCCATAAATAATGCTAGAGGGACCAACAACTCCCCAAGCCGACTGAAAACCAAACCGATGTGGCATCTCCACGTCCGTCTGTTCACCTCTTTCATTTATAATTAAATTTATAGATTAGTATCTAACTTAACATTTTAAAATTATTTTGATCCTTTAAATTTAAAAGTTATTTTTTAGTCCCAAACTTTATTTAGAATTCAATATAGGGTTTAATATTTAAGGTTTATGGTTTAATATTCTTAAAATTTAAAGGTTAGCAATTATAATTAAAGTTATTGTTTAGTAATTTGGGCTTATATTTTTAGAGTTTAGTTTTTGAGGTTAGGAATTAGAATTTATATTATTAGAGTTAAGATTTAGTATTTAGGGTTTAGGGCTTATCTTTTAGAATTTATTATTTAGGGTTAGAGTTTAAAAGTTTAAAATTTATGTTATTATCTAAAATAAAAACAAAAATAAAATGTCATAATACCTAAAATTAGAAATTACTAAACCTAAATTTTAAAAGTGAAAAGCTATTAGGATTCATTAGGTTCCAATCTAGCTAAGGGACCTATCAACTAACATTATTTAGAACAATGATTGGTTCATACTCTTATCCAATACACTAATTAAAATTATTTTTTGGTCTAAAATTGAAAGAAAATAAACTTAAAAATGCAATCATACATATATGATATAAAGACATATTGAATCAGTTATATTTATATTATATTTTAATAACTTAATCGAAAGTAATGTAAAAAAATATATTAAAGCAAGTATGTATCAATCTCTTTTTTTTTTTTCATTATTTTTGTTCCATGTTTTCTTTTACATTCTTTTTATGCAAGATACATAATTGTCTGCTTTTAAATCTGATTTTAAATTTTAATTTTAATAGGTCAATATCCAAATTCTTATTAATCTGATTTGCAATTGATAGAGAGTTCGACAAAGATTACTCTTCTTTTTTCTTTTTTTTTTATGAGCAAAAGCTAATCGAAAAAGATTACTTTAAACCCAGTTCCATCAACAATATGGATGTATTTTTTCTACTGTATTTTACTTTAGTAGTCAACTAATTAATGAAATTGTTTTCTTGGCCATCGATCCCTGGGAAAAAAATGTACAAGTACAAAAACAGATAGACTAATATCCAAAGGTTAAATGCTAAATTTAGTCCCTTAACTTTATGAAATGAACATTTTTGGTCCCTCAACAAATTTTTGCACTTTTTTGATCCCTTAACTCTAAAAACTGCACAATTTTAATCCTTCTGTCAGTTAAGTGACACATGGCAATTAAATATTCCAGAATGGCACTTTTTAATGATGTGGCAATGACAACTCATATAATTAGCTTATGTGGAGTATGCCAAGTCAAACTTAATTGTTTTTTTTTTTAATTTTTTTCAATTCTTTAAATATTAAATTACTAAAATGCCCTTAATTTATTCTTCTTGCCCATGGTTCTCCTTTGTGCTTTCTCTGTTCATCTCGTCATCGCCACCATTTCCAGTCATTTTTCCTCCCCTTCCCCCTCATTAGCTTGGCCATGACTGGGTTCACGAGGAACCCAGAGACAATCTGGGTTCGTCCACCATTTCCAGTCATTTTTCCTCCCCTTCCCCCTCATTAGCTTTACCATGACTGGGTTCATGAGGAACCTAGATTTGCTTTGGGTTCGCGACGAACCTAGAGCAGATCTGGGTTCGTCACGAACCCAAGTCTACTCTACTCTGGGTTCGACGCAAACCCAGAGCAGATCTAGGTTCGTCGCGAACCCAAGTTTGCTTTGCTCTGCTTTGGGTTCGACGCAAACCCAAGTCTGCTCTGGGTTCGTCGCGAACCCAGGTTTGCTCTATTCTGGGTTCGACGCGAACCCAAGTTTGCTCTGGGTTTGTCGCAAACCCGTTTCTTTATTGCTATAGATTAGGTAAAATTTGTTGATTATATTTATGTTAGAGTCCAGTTTGATTCAGGGTGATTCATTGTCATTTTGATTCTTTGTTGCAAACCCACAATGTTCATTATTAATTCCTTGCTTTTAATTGTGGAGTACTGAATGAAAGAGGCATTCTAAGTTCATGATGAACCCGTAACTGGGTTCACGACGAACCCAGATCGTCTCTGGGTTCCTCACGAACCCAATCATGCCCAAGAAGGGGATGAGGGGAGGGGAAAAGAGAAACAGTGACAACCAAAGGAAAAATGGCTGAAAACGGTGGCGGTGGGAAGGAGAACAAAGAGAGCACAGAGGAGAACAATGGAAAGAAGAATATATTAAGGGCATTTTAGTAATTTTATATTTAAAGAATTGAAAAAGATTAAGAAGGACAATTAAGTCTGACTTGGCATACTCCACGTAAGCTAATTGTATGAGTTGTCATTGCCACGTCATTAAAAAGTACCATTCTGGAATATTTAACTGCCAAGTGTCACTTAACTGATGAAAGGATTAAAATTGTGCAATTTTTAGAGTTAGGGGATCAAAAAAGTGTAAAAATTTGTTGAGGGACCAAAAATGTGCAACTCTAAAAAGTTGAGGGACCAAAATTAGCATTTAACCATATCCAAATTTTCTTCACCCAAAAATTTGTTGTTTCTTTCCTTTTTACTGGAGATATGCCACATGGATGTATGGTTCCTTTTTTTCTTTTACCCTCTCTTTAGTTAGGATGCATAATTATTAACTACTTTTAAATTTGTTTTTAATCTTAATTAATAATAATATACTACTAGTTATAATACCATGTGAGTATAAGACATTGTCGAAGCTCTTATGACATTATCCAAACTCTTCAAAGAGCTATTTACAATTAGTAGAG